ACACAGTGTTCTCTGCTCTTCAAACACATCATAGCACACACAAAATAAAAATTTAAAAATATAAGATAGTAATAAAAGTGTCTTTAATTTCTCCTCTCTCATTTACAGTCTTGAGTCTGGAAGAACCTTTTTCTTTCAATAGTGAATGCCAGTGTGAGCTTTTCAAGCTCATAATCACCATATTAGCGACAAGTATCTTTTTAAAATAAAATAGTTCTGCCTTACCTTCGAGGGGGAATGTTAACATCTGCCAGTGTGTACAGAGGTGTAAGGCTTGAGACAAGATAATGAAGTTGAGGGAAAGGAACCAAGTTCATGCTGATCTCATTCAAGTCCATATTAAGGGATCCCTCAAATCTTGCAGAGCTAAAAGGTCAACATCAGAACAATGAGAAACATTTTCATTCAGCAGGTTATTTTCTCAGATTCTTTGTTACACTGAGCAGAGCAGAATGGATGTTTGTGAATCACTGAAATTTACTATCATTAATAGTCATGTAGAAGGCTAATTAAGATACAACAATGCCTAGCAATTCTTATCTCTAGATTTCTAATGTGCAAACAACATCTATTATGCTTGTTCGTTATACATGTAAAAGTATCTTTAAAATAGACTTTATATCGAGTTAAACATATATAGGTCAATTACTTATTGTGGAAATTTTATTAAATTTATTAAGGGTCTGGTTAATACACTCAGTCATAAAATCATAATCATAATCTTAAATGCTTGAGAAACGTGAGACCCAAGTCATGGAAACGTTTTTGATCCAAGACAAAGATGTATAGATTAGTTGGTTCACAGCAGTGGCAGCATGTCTACCATGAGACTGCTTATCATGGAACTCCCACCAGTGTCCCAATAACATACTTGGAAAAATGCTGGCTAACCACTCCAGCACATGACAATCCCACACAAAATGAGTATTTGGGCAGCACAAATTGTCCTTGATAGGAACAAAAAACAGACACAAAGTTGGGGAGGAGGAGGTTAAGTATGACCAAATCATGTTATAAGAAATTCTCAAAGAACTAATAAAAAAGCGTCAGACAAATCTGGACAAAAATAATAAAAGAAGCTCCTACAACTTAGAACAACTAAATAAACGTGACTGGGCTGGGCCTGTAGCTCAGTGGTTCAGTGCTTGTTTCAACACGTTCCAGGGCTGGATTTAACAGTGTCCCCAAATCAAACAAAGGAATAAGACACCTAAATGTAAACATCACAAAGGCACAGTGACTATGCCAGCGTCCTGGGAGGGTTACCTTGTCAGGCTGAGGAGCAGATTGGCCACAATGTTGTTCATTGCATCAAAAGGCTTCGTGTGGCGCTTTTTAACAGCCCCCACATTTGAAGTAACTAGACTCTTAGGCTTCACAGCTGTACTCAACTTTCCAGAATTTACCACAAGATCAATTTTGCTAATGATGTCAAATAAAGACTTGAGAAGAAAAATATTGGGTGAGAAACTATTAATGAATGACTTAGATGACTTTTACTAGACAAGAAAAGAAAAACAATTCAAACTTAGTCTTTCTCTTAGATGGAGAATACTGAACACGAAGGCACACAACACAGAAGTAAATGTCTATAGACTATGTCTGTGAAGTCCAGTACCATTTCTTACTTGGTTGTCAATGGGCAACACACAGTCTGCGTGCTCATTCAGCTCCTTCATGGCCAGCATGCTGTTGTAAGGTGAGGTGATGACATCATCCTCGCTGGAAGGGAAAACGGCCGTCACGAATCTGTACACTTCTGGGAACTCATCTTCAAGCACCTTTAACAGAAAGGTGCCAAGTCCAGACCCCGTTCCTGAGAGTTAGAATTTGAAGAAGAAAACAAGACAAACGGTTCGAAGTGTAACCCCGAAGAGCCCACAATGCTTTAGTCGTAGGCATAATTTTCAACTCAGCGAGAGCACAGGCAGGCTGTCAGGGTTCAAGGTGAGAATTCCATCAGGCTCTGAGCACAAGTCTGGGATGGCTTTCTCTAACCTTTTTTTTGTATTTAAGTCATCAGATAACAAATAAACTGAATATGGAAAATTCAACTAAGATAGCATCCAGTATTCCTGATAGTAAACAACTTAAAAACCACACCAAACCTATTTTGACAGCTTTGGTCTCAAGATGTGTTGTTGTCTCAATGACACAGAAAACTACCAAGTCATCAAGCAACTTCGAACAAAAAAATAAGATATGTCCACTTTGTTTACAAAGTTTCCACACATGTTATCATTGACTTATTTAAAAGCAGAAACTCTGGAGATCTCATTAATAACCTTGACATTTAAAGTCATATTCATACAAATTCAGAAAATTTTAAGGACTTAAAAAGTAGGTCCTATAACTTAGTTCTAGTAACTAGCAATGAAGTTGGTAGGAGTGTTTTTAAGTTGAAACAGGAGAAAGTAGCAATGTGCCAAATGTAGTACAGATAAGCAGTATTCTGAATTATGTTTTACCGTGTACATATGCTATGTTGTTACACAAAAATTATATAAATAAAATTTATTGTGGTTAAAATGTGGAGCCAAAGCTCCCAGGTATGTCCATCAGGTGGGCCATGGGCTACATGCAGCCAACATAAACCCATTAATCTAAGACATGAAACCTTTATTCATGTGTTTCTGTAACTCTATTACCCAGTTCTTCACTGGGAACTTTGTATATAATGTGATCTTGAAAACCCCAGAATGTAGAATCTTAATCTCAGTTTTAGGAAGAAAAGTATGATAATTTTTTCTTTCAAACTTTGTTAATATTACCATTTTAAAATTAGCACATTATCGTGTTTCTGTTTTATGAACAGGAGAGCAAAAGACTTCCATTCCAAATTACAGACTCATCTGGGTAAACAACGCAATGTAGATCACACTTCAAGCTCAGCAATTAAGTACCATGAAATGAGTGATTTTTAAGGAACTGACTGAAATCATTTCTTTTACACTTCAGTTTTCTTAGTGGAGGGACGTGTGGGAAGGTTTGAAGGTGGTTAATAGAACACTTCAGTTTTCTTAGTGGAGGGAGGTGTGGGAAGGTTTGAAGGTGGTTAATGGAGTATTAGTATCCTCATAATGGCAAGTCATGTAAGAACATGCCAGAAAGCTCAACTCCACTTGGGATAAAGAAACAATCATTTCTCAAAAGTGCATTCCTACTGGAATGTGGCTGAAATATTCCAAGAGAATCTAAAAGTGAAAGAAAACATTCAAAATTAAAGAAGAATTGGTTAATAGTGAGTCTCACAATTTTATATGTGTGCCCATGCTCCTTTCTGTGTCTGCTCACGCACTGCATGTGTGTGTGCACATGGAGGCCAAACGACAATGTCAGGCATTATTCCAGTGCCATCCAGTTCTGCTTGAGACAGAGTCTCCCACTGGCCTGGAGATGGTTGTTCCGTGAGCGCCAGGGCCCATCGGTCTATTTCTCCCTAGTTCTGGAATTACAAGCACGTGCCAACACAGCCAGCTTTTTATGTAGGTTGAGGCTCAAACTCAGGTCCTTATGTTTGTATTGTATTTTACCCACTAAGCTATCTCAGGCCCAGCTTCACAAACTTTTAAGATGAAAAGCTGAAATGTACAAACACTGCAGCATACATGCATCAGGCATATCCCACCTACATCAAGGGTCATTTGTACCCTAGGCTAGCCGTGAATGTGGCCCCACATAATGCATGAGACATCATGAGGTTGTTTTGTATGCATGGTCCTTGAGCAGGAACCCTGTGGTCGACACTGTGTCTCGACGTGAAGAGGTTGGACAAGCTGGCTACCTCAGCAGGCATCAGGCTTGCAAACTGAATTCCCGCCGGCACGTGACTTCACTACAGGCACGGGGCTCACCTCCCCCCATGGAGTGTATGATGAAGAAGCACTGCAGGCAGTCACAGTGCTCTGCAGACTTCCGGAGTTTCTCCAAAATCTGTTCCCGGTAAAGACTTCCAAACACTCTGTGACCCACAGCCCTGAAAATAAGAACACAGATTCAAAAAATCCTTGATTTAATACTTTACGATTTTATTATTTCTACTCTAAATAAGGATTGAAGAAAAATGGGAAAACAAATCAAATTGTACTAAGAAACTATTCTTCCATGTAATAAATCCTATTTATTATAGATTATATACCAATAATTCTTAAATAGCCTTATAAGCAAGCAATGAGCCTTAACAATTGTTTTCTAATTTTATTTTTAAATTTTCTCCAGATAAATTATAAAAAAATAAGAATTCAGTTATAATTTTTTTTAAATTTTTATTTAACCAAACTCTGAACTGCAGTGAATTTACATATTAAAAAGCAGAATGAGGTTAACAGATAACAAAATGAAACATTTCAAACTAATTTGTAAACATGAGCAAACTCCAACTTAGAATTCTCTTAGCTTGGATTTTCTATAAAGCTGTCAACAGCTTTATCTTTAACTTGTGATTAAAGGTTTTGCAAACAGGATCACTTCCAGGACCTTGAAACACTACACTGTCATTTCTTGCTACTATATTTCCTGGATTACACAATCTAGTTTAAAATAGGAAAAACTGGTCACATCACATTAACAGATGAAATGGCAAATGGCTGAAAATGATAGTGAAAAGTCTAAGTTGTCTTCACTAATCAAATCTCGGAGTACCACTATGTTACAACACAAAATAAAAATGATCTCCCAGTAAGCATTGCAGCTCGGATGGAAAGGTATCCTGGCAGCTGGAAGTCACATTGCACAACAAACCTCACACAAGACATTTATTGGGAGGGAAAAAACCAGGAGGATGGAGTAAAAAACAGCAGCAAACTGAACAGGATAAGAGGGCTTATACAGAGCTTCTTGGGAAGGGGGTGGAGCTTTTCCCGGTGGAGCTTTCCAGCGGGGAGATTGGTGGGATTTCATGTCCAGAGGTTGGGCTTTTTGCTCTGCAGGGTTGGGGTAGGGTCCAGCAGTTAGGGCAGTTAGAGTATTCTGTGGGTGGAACCTGGCAGTTAGAGGTCCTCGGGGAGGGACTTACATTCCCCATTACATGCAGCTTAGTATAATACAAAGATTACATAACAAGTTCAATGCAACCAGAGAAAGGCTAGGCGGGTGGTCAGGTAGGCTCATTTCTCAAGCAACTGGCTGTCCCTGGTCTCCTGACACATGGAATGCAAACTCACGTTTTTATGAAACTATACTCTGAACTAACAATGTGCAGAGACTTAACTTTTAAGTAAGAACAACAACAAATCAGTGTGAATTCTTTAACTGTTGAGGGTGTTTTTCCCCATTAAAGAGACTATATATTTAAGACAGTTTGTGCCAGCTTGGATAGGAGGATGCTGGTTTGACTTAGATCTTTCTGTTAATTCTACTGATTAGACAAACAGAAGAAATTGAAGAATCAAGCATCATAAGGCATCATCATCAATTAATTAATTAATTAATTAATTAATTACTAAAAGTGAGCAGAAAGGCTGATGCTCGTGTGTGGTAACTGCACTTTGCCTTCGCTTCAGCAGAACCTGTTAGGATAAGGCAGTGAAGACTCAACTTCTTCGAATGACATTCAGTATGTTCTCACCAATTATTTCCCGAGCCAGAAATATCCGTGATGAGCTGCTTGCTATCAAACACATCTCTCAGGGGTCCTTGGAGAATTTCATTCACTACTCCTTCTTCCATGTCAATCAAAACGGCCTGGAAAGAGAAGCTAAATTTAACATCTTGTCTCTGGTAATTTATAAATTCAAGAATCCATGAGCTGTAAGTTATATTGTTCTTTTTCACAATTTAAGGTTAATTAAATTTTTTCTTTATGTAATCTAGTGTTAGAATTAAAAAGATAATTTTATACAACTCAATAAGATGGAATTAAAAAGTAGATTCTAAACTCTTAATTCTACTCCATAGGGGCCAGTAAGGGACAAAGGAACCCAATAGTCCTCTCAATTGAAGGATTTCTAACAGGGTCTTAGAAATCTAGAAGGCAGTCCTGACCAGAAAAAAAATTTCAATAAATTAGGATGTATTAATGCATTTGCTCACTAGGAATGAAAATGGAACAATTATAGCTAGAAATGTCCAGTTCAAGTGAGTTAGCTTCTAAAGCCAAGGCACTGGACAGGTGTTAGAGAGGACAAGGCCTTCATTCAAGTAACGCAGTCAAATTCATTAACTCTGACTACACGGACAGGGGAGATAACCTACACTAAGAAATAAGAATATAAAAGAGAAGAGATACAGCAAATGTGAGCAGGAACGGTTTGCCAATAGGAATTGGCTCCCTCCTCTTAGTTTTCTTCTTTACTTTCCCAAGATTTAATGTGGACCATGCAATGGCCATTCAGCATTAAAAACAAACTGGAATGTAAATAAGCTTGAATACTGTGTACCTCATGAGCTGCTCAAAATGAAAACAAATGGTTTTGAACTAATGTCCTCTCTTATCCTAGGCAGCAACAACAAATCCATTCTAGACTGGAGTTGATGAGAAGTTTCAAAACTTTCCAAAGGCAAACACTTAACACACACAGAGTCATAATCACTAGTTGGTCTGCTGGTGGTCTGATTCACAACATCTTTCTGAATCCTAGAGAAACTATTACAGCTCAGCAAATTGATGGGATACACTGAACTGCAATGCCTGAAGCTGCCATTAGTCAATAGAAATGGTCCAATTCTTTTCTACGATAAATCCTAACCACATGTCACAACCAATGCTTCAAACACTGACTGAACTGGGCTATTAAGTTTTGCCTCATCCACCGTATGTGTCAACCATCTTCTGCTTCAAGTATCTGGTACCTTTATGCAGGGAAAATGCTCAAAGAATTTGTCAAACCCCAAAGCATGATTACAATAGAGGGAAAACAAACTTCCTTCTCACTGGCAAAAATGTGTTGATTCTAATGGTCCTCTGTGTTTGGGCCTACTTATTTAAAATTCATGGTCTGAAATAGCACATCCTTTTGCTCCAGCCTAGTCCATGCCATTTTTTAAACACTTTACTGACCTAACCGCACAATGCTATGTACAGCACCGTCATTTTCATTTCACACACGAGGAAACTGTCGTCTAGAAAAGTCTGATAATTGGTATAAGTACTGGTAAATGGTAGAGCTGAGACCCAAACCTCGACTGCCCAGAGGCAGACTCTTACCCACCAAACGCTATGCAAGTTTGGCATCTGCAGAGTGCTAGCTACAATGGAGTGACATTTACACACATATCAATTGCGGCTTTGTATAATTCTGCTTATTTTAAGATTGTACTGCTTGTCTTTGTCAACTTGACACAAACGTAGACACCTACGAAAAGAGGGAACCAGTCATAACTGAGAAATGTCTTCATAGACTGGGAAGGCCTGCTACACCGTGGGTGGTGCCACCCGGGGGCAGGTGGTCCTGGACGTAAGAAAACAGGCTGAGCCGGTCAGGAGAAGCAAGCCAGTGAGCAGCTTCTGCTTCCGGGTTCCTACCTTGAGTTCCTGCCCCGACTTTCTTCGATGATGAACCATGATGTGAATATGTAAGTGAAACAAACCCTGGTCATGGTGCTTTATCACAGCAATGGGAACCCAAAGACAAAAGATACACACTGGACATATAACTCCGTATGTTCTAAAGACTGTAACTATCTAATATTTTTTTTCAAAGATGTTGGGCATGGTGACACATGGCTGTAATCTCAGCACTCAGGAGACTGAAGCAGAGTACTGGAAGATTTTTTTAATTTATTACTTTTACTTTTGTGTATGAGTGTTTTGCCTCCATGTATCGTATCTGTGCATCATGTTCATGCCTAGTTCCTACGGAGGCCAGAACAGGGCATTGACTCCCCTGTAACAGAGCTGCTATGTAGATCCTTAGGAGTCAAATTCTGGGTCCTCTGGAAGAGCACAGTGCTCTTAACCTTGAAGCCATCTCTTCAGCCCCATGTAACTGTTTTTCTTTCCTTTTCTGTTTTCTTGTTTATTTTTTTATTTTTTTTTTATTTTTTTTTTTTTAGGATTTATTAGTGCTGGGTGGTAGTAGCACACGCCTTTAATCCTAGCACTCAGGAGGCAGAGGCAGGCGGATCTCTGAGTTCGAGGCCAGCCAGGGCTACAGAGTGAATTCCAGGAAAGCCAGAACTGTTACACAGATGTTTTATGATTGTGTGTGTATGTGTGAGTATATACATGACTGCGGGTGTCCTAGGAGGCCGGGGGTGTTGGAGTCCCCGAGGCTGCAGCTGGGGGCAGCTGCTAACTGCCAGAACTAGGTCTGTGCTCTTGTCTTCTGCAAGGGCAGCAAGCATTGCTGACGCCGGCCAACTCTGCAGTCCCGACAACTAGGTTTTACGAACGCGCTCCAGTTGTTTTTTTTTTTTTCCTTTTAAACATAAACCAGACTATACAGGGGTGTGTACTGATTAATTTTAGGGATTTTCAAGGATATGTTGAGCAATATGCAATTTTTACCTTAAATGCAGACATTGCACCAACAAGACAATCTTGACTGAACACACAAATTGTATGTAGGGTTACAAAATGTATAACCACACTTGTATGGTGCATGGACGTTTACAGCTGAGTAAGCCACACCACCTGACGGCCGTGCTGGCTGGCTGCCAATGGAAACAGCAGGCAGTGCATTTGCTATAATTTGGGCCACAGCTAAAGGGAGATCTGACAGGATCATCCCTGTCCTAGTAACTTACGTAGCTCTTCTGAGCTTTCTTTAGACACATCAAGCCCCTAGTTTCTTCTTCCTTTGAGATTTAACTAAATGTTCAGAGTATTTTTGATTCTTTGCTTAGGCATCCCCAGTCTGCAGTCAAAACTGTTCCAGGAATACAAAAGTCTGTATTCGTTTCCAGAGCTACGTAACAGTAACCAGAATACAGGATTCACAACATTCTGTGTGCCTGTTAGCCTAAGACACTACAGTAATTAGTAGTCCAGGAGATGTCTCTAAAGTTTGGGATGCCAGCTCTCTGCCCACATAACTCAGCTCATCTTCCCACTGTATCGATGAGCAGATGGAAGGTAAGGGAGCCATACTAGGCAAGGATAAAGGAGCATATTCCCATAGTCTGACTGTCACTGAGAAAGCACTTCCATTTCCTCCGCAGGAACTGGTGGTGTTATGTGTCTGGTGTGACTTGGTGCCTGGCTTCCTCCACTGCTCACTGCGTTCATCAACTGTGCTAACTTGCATGCACATGATCTCTCCCTTCAGTTCTGCTTCCCAGGGATATCAGAGCTCACAGAGAGATTCTTCAGGTGCCACCCTGCTGCTCGATGGTCTCTCAACCTTGAACACCACGTCTGACCCTAGCACCTCACTTCCTTACACACCACTTACACTGCCTTTCTTTTCCTTTGTGTGGTTTTGTTGTTGTTTTGTTTTTTTTGAGACAGGGTTTATCTTTGTAGCCCTGGCTGTCCTAGAACCCATTCTGTAGACCATGCTGGCCTCAAACTCACAGAGATTGGCCTGCCCCTGCCTCCTGAGTGCTGGGATTAAAGGCGTGCACCACCACGTCCTGGCTAACCTTTCTTTTTCTTATAGTCAAAGACTACTCACCAACAACCAGAAGGGAAAAACAAACTTGCAGAGAAACAACAAACTCAAATTTTACTGCCATGTTACAAAGCAAGAATCCCAGAATATGTATCTTACTCGTGCTTTTAAAGAAGATATTCTTCCTTTGGAAATACTGCTGCCATCACCAGCCACTCTGAAACACAAAGAAATTGAGAAAGGGTCACAAGATTTCCCAGGGCCGGTAGTGTTCACTTTCATTTCCACACCAAGGCAGCTCTGCCCTCCTATCACCACTGGTCCAAGGAATCAAACTCCAGTGCCAGCTCGGCAGCAGGCACCCTGACCTGCTGAGCCAGTCCTAGTGTCTGCTCTTGAGGCGTTTCCAGTTTTGTGAGAGAAGTGAGTATCTTTCTTGTGTAAGCTACTGTTAATTAGGTTTTCTGCTGTAGCCAGACACGTAAACTGATACAAGCATTACACACCACTCAGGCCATTTCTAGAATTTTAGTGAAAATACTACAACCTATGGATAAGCATAGAATACAGGTCAATATAGTTCACAAGGCAGAGACGAGATGAGGAGCTGAGTAAACAGTGACTACAGGCCAGCAGTAAACGGACTGTAATACCCAGGCCAACTCCAAGTACCGGTCTGTTTTGCGAGACAGAATTTTGTTTAAATACAGCCATCCCCATTCGTTTATGGGCCTGTTATCCCTGAAGGCAGACGAGGACCTGCAACAAGACCTTACGCTCTGGCCAGCGTCCAAGTGTTTACCATCTGGTTTTTCATGCAGCCTCTACTACCGGCGGATTTCTACCATGCTACTAAAGAGGACTGGCAGGCAGGTGCCCACAAAGATGTGGCAGGAGTTTTCACAAGGAGTTTTGGGTACCAAACCTGGGGGCCAGAGGCTGTACTGACAGCACAGAGGGAAGAGCCAGACGCACGCCCATGCCTTTCCCTCCTCTCCACACTCCAGGCTGAGGAAATCCGAAAGCTTTCAGAGAATTACATGACAACCTTCTTAAGAAAGAAAACTCAATCTTAAGAGTCAACTATGAAATAAATTTATTTATTAACTTGCAAAGAATTTGGGTTCATTATGTTATTTTTCAATTTTTTTTTTTGTTGTTGTGTCTCTCCCAATTCTATGCCCTCTGGTCCCCAAAGCTTCCTTCCTGTTTTCATGTCACATATGACCTCTGCCCGTCTTAGTCCCGTCATGGTCTCCTATCTAGTTCCATTCAACGTTGCAATAATCGAAGGTGTGGCTATCAAAAGAGGCTGTGGAAGTGGAACCAGCAAGGGAAGCACTGTAAGGAATATTACACAGACAAACCGGAGTACAAGTATTCGAGGGGGAGGAGATCGTGGGCCTCAAATCAGTGAACTGGTCTAAATGACAGCCACCTCCCTATAATGACGGCTCTTCCTGCCACTATGGAATCACCTAGTCCTTAATCCAACACCATGTCTCCAAACAGCCTTCTGATTAATATGTAGCTTTGGGAGCGTCCGTCCCGAAAATGTGCTGACAGTGCAAAAGGACCATCGGGCCCGAGTTCAGACTGTCCATCACTAACAATGACTTCCCACTTCTGAACCTATTTCTGTGAATTTGACTCATCTGACCGTACTGGAGCAGTGGGAACAAGTGTGAGCCGAAACACGAGGCTCTGGGATTCACCAACAAAACAGACCAGACAGGTTTCCTGGGAAGGTAACAGCTCCAACACCTAGTCCACAAATTCAAACTAAATTTCTACCAAATCGGCACAAAGCCCGATATTTCTATAGTGGTCAGCACAAGCCCACCACAGTTGGTTTTATAAAGCATTTTGAAAATGAGTAAACTTAACAATTTAACATGAAAAGCCCATGGGCACATCTCAAATGTCAAATTACTCTTTCAGGTAAAAGAATTATAACACATCTATCTTATATGAAACAAAAATACATGGTGTGAGCTGCTTCTACATTTGTCTTCTTTCTTTTCAGCATATTCTAAGACAGTGGTTGTCAACGGTCCTAATACTGTGACCCTTTAATATAGTTCCTCATGTGTGGTACCCCCCAACCATAAAATTATTTTTGTAGGTACTTCATATCTGTGATTTTGCTGCTGTTATGAATCACAATGTACATATCTGATATGCAGGGTATCTGACATGTAACCCTGAGAGGTTGCGACCCATAGGCTAAGAAACACTTGTTCTAACGTCAAGTAATCAGCAAAATACTCTTCCATGCATTGGCCATTACTCAACACATGACACATGCTACCCTCAGTGAAAACTTCACGTTTCTCTGATTGAAAGTTCATTTCAAAATGAATGGGGGGGGGTGCGTGGGGAGGAGAGGTCTCTTTAAAGGTTCTTTTTTTGTTCCTTACCGAAGCCTGTCAAGGAAGCCTGCTGTTTGGCAGATAAGAAAATGTGACGGGAGAATAGGCTTTCAATCAGAAGGGCAGACAAAACCGACACCATCACAGCCGGGGGCTGCTCCCGTGACCCTTCAAGGAATCCTCCCACTCTGCTGACAGGACAGGAAGGAATCACAACGCCCAGATGGACTCTCATCCTCTTACCTGGTATCCACGTTCCTGAAAAAGCTGCTCAGCGCATCGTCATAAATTCCTTTCTAGAAACAAAGCAAATCACAGCACTGGAGTTTACTGTCTCTACAGTCCTTTCAATTCCACTAATTCTACAAGGCTGAAAACGCCAAGGTGCGGCTCGTAGAAAGAGAAACCCAGGTCGGTTCTTCCAACTGCGTGTAAGGAGTGAAATACCAACAGAACTCCTGGCTAAATTTGAGAGAGCGGCGAGAAGTCTGCCACATAGGACTGCACAGCTGGTACACCAACTGAGAATTTCTTGGGATTCTCGATCGTTTGATGTGTTATCTATTTTATAGCGCTTCCTATAGCACCTACTGCCTTTCAAAAACAACTTTAAAAAAAAAAGGAAGACGGCTGAGAACGAGGGAAACCAAAGGACCAAACTCTTTGGCCGGTGCCTTCCGGCCTGTGACTTACAGCAACGCGAGTTTAAAAAGAAAACAAGCTACAAGATCCTGTGCAACTTGTGGCCCAAAGACAAAAACGCTCAAGTGAGCTGGGGTGGGCACGGTCGTGGCCACTCTAGGGAAGCAAAGGCGGAAGGATGGCTGCAAGTTCGAGACCAGCCACGGTCTGCACAGCGAGTTCCAGCTCAGCCAGGGCCCCCGGGGGGAGAGACTCAAACTCGAGGGAACTCTGCCTGCCCTGCTGGCAGGCCGGGGTGCCAGGCAGGGGGTCGGGGGGCTCAGGGCGAGCGGGCGGGGTACCTGGTTGACCGCGGCGTGCTCCCTCAGCGCCAGGTCCCAGAAGCAGCAGCCGATCTGGTTCCCGCACTGCCCGACTGTGGCCAGCGGCGGGGAAGAGAGAGAAGGACATTAGGAAGGGGACCAGGTGACGGGGCTCCGCGGGGGACCCGGGAGACCCGGGGGACGGGGCTGGGGAGGGGGTAGCTCACCCTGGACGACCACCGACTGGGTCATCCCGCCCCGCTCGCACTCCCGCCTTCACATTCGAGCCTAAGGACGCGCTCACGAGGGGCGGCCGTAAGTCACGTCGCTGCCGCAAGGGTAGCCACCGTCGTCAAAACCCCGGTTTCTCCAAGACGCGGCGGGCGGGGAGGGGTTCCGCGCAAGCGCATTTGCGGCTTGCCGTTACCATAGCGACCAGGCCTCCGGCAGGCAAATCCTAGCTGCCTTGACAACATCCTCCGGCATCTTGCAGCTCCGGAGGCCCTGGAAACGGACGGGTAACTAACTAGGTTTCCGAGTGGCATTTTAAATAAGGGGCTTCGAAAGTGATCGCGGGCCACGAGAGGCTCACAGTCTTCACAGCCGGGGCCGTGGGTCAGGCTCTTGGGGATGTTGCTGCTCCAAGGGTCGTTCTCTAACAGAAAACGAATGCCGAGGAGCGCAGAGAAACCCCCGGACGAATAGGCTTTTCCGGGAACAACCCTGACCCAATGGCACAGCGGTTAGAGGCCAACGCGGTATACTCCTCAAACCAACTTTTAAGGTTTCTGGAGGATTCAAAAGCAATTAAGACATAAATCCAGCTTCAGACAGCCGGCAGTGTAATTGAAGACACACACACCATGATGCACTGAAAAGACATGACCTAACATGTTAGTGGCACCGACAAGCAGAGCAGTAATGTTCAGTGGACAAGGGTGTAAGATAAAAGAGATGGATGGGTTCGACGTTAAGGCATTTGATGTATGTATGATGTAGACGAGATTTAAAATAAAAGCGGGAAATGGGGGGGGGGGCCGCAAAGTTTGAAAAATCAGTTATTTCCAGAAACTGAATTTTTGCTGAGTAAATTAAACGAGATTGCAATTAAGAACTAAATTAAGAATTCAGGCCTGAGAGATGGCTCGCTCAGTGTAATGCCTGCCACGGAAGCATGGGGACCTGAATGCAGATGCCCAGCACTTCTGTATTTAAAGAAACCGGGAGTCTGTAACCCTGGCCTTGGAGAGGGAGAAGGGAGGACCCCTGGAGCATAGCTGGATCTGTGAGCTCCAGGTTCAGTTGGAAACAATGTCTTAAAAAAGCAAGATGAAGAATGATTAAAGAAAACACTCCATGTTCACATCTTGCTTCCACACCCGTAACCACACACAAATCCTCAAGAACTCTAGTATTTTAATGAATTTAATGTTTTTCCACAAAAATTCCGAGAAACTACAAAACCTGTAGGCTTGATTTAGCAAAAATGAAGTTATACTTGCTATTAATGTGTTGGTGATATGAGCCACAACATTTGGTAGGTTAGAACATCTTATCCTGCCAACAAGATAAATAATAGTTTGTTATTACACGTTTTTGAAAGATTTGAAGTTGTAGTAGGTTGTTTATATTGCTGAGGCCTTTTCATATTGTTGTTTGGATGTCTTACACCTTTGTTCTTACATCTCCTGTAATTAAGGGGCAGATTTTAGCCAAGAAAACTTTGAAATTGTTGGATTTACTCTTTCCTGCTTATTGGGAAGTGGCCAAGGTATAGTCAGACATGTTGGGTCTTAATGTTGAAATCCTCAAATCTGGGTCTTCCAAAACTTATGCAAATATGTAAGTTGTGCTGTGATTCGGCCGAATCATGCGATTCTGGTGCCAACTCACTGGGTATTCTAGCCTTTGCAGAGCTTGGCCCGTGGTGTAGTTCCCATCATTCTCCAGAAGCCACACAACAGCAAGGAGTTGTAAGAAAGTCCTTACGAGTTTCGCCAATAACTTCAGTCTGGAGTGAATCCGATGTGTCTGCTTGCTAGCCAGGTGAGGCAGTCTTCTACTCCGGTCACCCCAGGACCTTGGGGCCTGCACATTTAGGTTAGCCAAGATGGAGGCAGCTTAATGGCAGATTGTTCTTACAAACAAGAAATCTTTTGTTATGAAGTCATTGAGATTTTGGGGTGCAATTGTATCAGAGTAATAACTGATTAATACATAGAAGTGATAGATTCAACGGGATTTTACATGTTAAATATCGGTAGAAGAGAAAGTCAGCGATATAAAAAGAAGGAAGGGAAATGGAAAAGGAGGAGGAAGGAAGGAAGATGATATATTAGGATGGATGAAGCATGTGATAGGAGAGAAAATCTAACTTGAGGAGAAAAGAGAATTTACATAAGTAAATTGCCCTGTGGAGCAATGTAAGAATATGAACACAGCAACAAGATGCTAAAATAATGCATTGAAGAATACAGGCTGAATTGAGATAAAATAAATAAGGAAATCAATCAAAGACAAAAACACCTTTAAGGATTAATGAACAAGTTTTAAAATCATGGAAAAAGCAGCCTAGAGGAATGAAATCAGATTAGTGATATAGGGGAAGAAAGACTTGAAGTAATCACAGAGAATGCTGAGTGAAAAGTGAAACTTTTGAAACTATAAAAAATAATATTCATGGGGGAGGCAAATGGCTCACATAATATTAATAAACACTCCTGAAATAGAGAACACAGAATACACAAGGACAAATATACTTAATGATATAAAGCAGTGAAAGAATGGATTAAAAGGATGCATCATATTCCACAGGAATATTTTTGTAGAGCAACCAACATCAATAACTATGTCTTGGTTAAGTTATTAAATTTTCAGAATAAGTAATTCTTTAGGTTTCTGGGCAAGAAATAAGGAGTGAGATGAAGAAAAACAAATTAGGTTGCTTTGATTGATCTAGAACAGGGCACATATTCATATTCATCTGTAGTGTTTCAGCAATTGTTAGAAATTCTATCCTAATCCTAAGGCAAAGTTCATTTAATTACTTTTAAAAATTGAAATTAAAGCAACTGAAACATCAATTTTAGAAGTCACACATTCTGACATGGTCCAATCCAAAAATACATTTATTTGATATATGCTGACGGATGACAGTAGGAAAATATTAAAAATCATTGTTTTGTATAATTAAACCACTGTGTTTCTATAAAAAACAGAAAATTTTGCAACACAGTAGAGACAATACAATTAATATCTCACAATCTCAAACCTGAGCTGAGGCGTTTCTGGCATTGTGTGTCTTGATGGTGTGTGTGTAGTGCGGTGTGAATGCTGTGTGCTCAGAACCAAGGCGACAGTGAAATTACATGGTACAAGATAGGCAGGCACTGCCAGCTACATGACAAGTTCGTTATATAATTAATTTCTGATTGTTCTGTGTTTAGAAATCTCGGATGGTTGTCAAATATTTCATCTGGTTACATGACCCCACAGTTCAAGAAGCCACAATCAAACACACTCAGTACTGGATGTCACTGAAAAACCTCTACAGGGCTGTAAGGAGAATATATGTTCAGATGAAATTATGTTTCTATGGCTTCCCAAGTTGTCATTTAAATAAAATTTGATTTTTTTGTTACTTATCCACATTCTTGTACACTGTCATTTCAGAATCCATCTCTCGTGTAACTTGGCAGTCAGTGGCAGACACCATGTTGGTAAGATTGCCTTCCAACCTCTCTTAGAGCACTTAAATCCATTAGCTAGATGATCTGCGTTACAGGTCATTACAGTTCCCTTTATACTTTTTTTTCCAAGGCTGGGAATAGTGACATTTGCCTATAATTTTGGAATCTTGGAGGTAGACAGGTGAATCTCTGAGTTTGAGGCCAGTCTGGACTACAGAGGGAGTTCTAGGCCAGTCAGGGCTTCATAATGAGACCCTGTCTCAAAAAGGAAGATAATTCCTCTCCTATGAACAACATAGTTCATTACCCTATAAGCTTTCAACAACAGACTTTTGTCAACTGCTGCCAATGAGTAATGTGTAGTGGCCTGTAGTAGTACCTGATTCGGATCTAAGTCTGTTTAAACCAGAATAAATGTAGCAATATTGTAGAAACAATAACTGTAAGACTCAGCCTTAACAGTTCAGTGGTATCTAGAACAACTGTTCATCTTCTGCATATGACATTTGTCACTCAGGGCCCTCTGTCTGACACCTAGGCTGATGGGATGCCATTATTTGGTCCATCACTGGTTTATTTTAAATCGATGAATAATAATTGTACACATTTACTGGATCCAGTTGGTATATGTTTACATTATGGGATGATAAAATTTATATATATTGCCTCATATACTTAAACTTTTTAAAGCGAGAATACTTGAAATTTGTTATCAACTTGGAACATATTAACTATAATCACCATGTTATTCAGTAGATTTCTAAAATTTCTTTTTCTACCTACTAAAACTTAATACCTTTTGAAGATCTCTTTACTCCCCATCTCCTCCCCTTCTGGGAACCACCATTTTACTTTACCTTAATTAACCCTTTAGCTCTCACACATAAGTGAGACATGTAGTGTTTGTCTCTTTGTGCCCTGTGTATTTCATTTAACATCGTGTCTTCCAGAGGCTCCTTCATGCTGTTGTGAGTGACAGGGTTTTCTTTTTTCCTTTCTCCTTGCAGTACCGGAATTGAGCCCAGGACCTTGTGCATGCCAGGCAAGTGATCTAGCACCAAGCTACATCCCCAACCCAGGATTTCTTGTGTTTTTTTTTTTTTTTTTTTTTTTTTACAAGGAAAATACCATTAAAGTTAAAAATGCCCAAGCAAAGCAATACGAAACCAAAAAAGAAATCTCCAAAAACATCAGAGTTCATGTTGAGTTGGCTGTCTACTGTTGAGTATGGGGCCCGCCCTTAAGTATGTATACCCGGTGAGAATCCACTGGAGAAAATTATTTTTTCCTTTATGAGTTTTCTTCAATTGGAGATAATGTCTTGATTAGGGTTGTGTCTCCTTTCCCCTCCCAGCACTAGGACTCCATCTGGCTTGGACCTGAGGGGCCCTGTACATGCTGCCACAGTCTCTGTGGGTTACATATGTGTGTCCGTCCTGCCTTGTTTCCTTGGTGTTATCCATCCCCTCTGGTTCTTACGATCTTTCTACTCTTCCGAAGAGATCCCTGGGGAGAGGGGTTTGATGACACATTTTTTTTTTTGTTTTTTGTTTTTTGTTTTTTTTTCCCATCACAGGCAATTTATTTTGTTCTATTCATTCACAGTTAATACAGAAAATACTTGGAAACATTTCCATATAATGTTTGACACAGAAATCATCAAATAGAAGTATACAATGTTGACAGGAGGCAGTACATTTATAATTTATAACCCCAAATGTATTTATAAATTAGAAATGGAAAGATCTACAAATGAAATTATGAAGGTTCACCAAAGTCATTTAATCTGTTAGTTTCTCGTTCATTTTTATGTCTTAATAATATTCTATTGTATGAATAAGCCACATTTTATTTCTCTCCAGTATTTGATAGCTAGATTTCTTGTGTTTTTAAAATGCCAATTAGTATTCAATATAGCAAATTAATTTACATGGTTGGTTCTGATTCACACTCAATCACCTTGAACAGAGACTCCTTTATAATCCACAGATCACTAAGTAGCAGACAGGGTAGTCCTAATGAAGGGCTCTGGTGATGGAGCCTAAGAAAGCATAAACCAGTTTTCCGACAACTGTGTTTCTGGGTCCCAGACCAAAATTTAAAAGGACTTGGAAGACTAAAAATACAATTATTCAGCAGTGTAAGATTTTCATTGTCTGGCATTCAAATAAATACTTCCCATGCAAAGATGCAAAGATGACGTCTGTGACTAGATAAAAAAATTCAGTCAGCTAAAACAGACCAAGGGAGGGCCACAGATGAAAAACATTAGTAAACAAGAACATTAGTAAACAGGAGGTAAAAAGAATAATATCTGATTATACAGCCCTGGCTCTCCTGGAACTCACTATGTAGACCAGGTTGGCCTTGAACTCATAGAGCTCTGCTTGCCTCTGCCTCCCAAGTGCTGAGATTAAAGGCACGTGCCAGCACACCTGGCCATATCAGACTTTTGGAATAAATGAAAGTCAGGAAATAGTGGAACAAAATCTGGAAAGTACTAAAGCAATAAAAAGAAAATGAAACTGTCAGGTTTGGAAATTCCCAGTGGAAATAGTGTGCAAAAGTTAGAGGGATCCAAAACCTGAATAAATACAACACATTAGCCCTGTTCAATGAAAACCTACAGGCAAAGGGAAAATATTGGATGAAAACCTGGGCCTACTTAATGTTGTAGGAAATACTGAAAATAATAAATATAAACTATGTCTATTATATTAAAAATATTTCCCCAAAAGATAATTGCTAAATGAACATCGATATGTTACATCATTCACAGTATGGGTACAAGTAAAATATATAATAATAAAATCATTAAATTTTAACTTTATTTTTGAATTAATTTATATTTTATTATGTGTGGCAATAGAGGACAAATAAAATATACCTTTATTAGATTCCTTTACAATATGAGTTGGTATATAGTCATTGGAAGGAAGTCCATAAAAAATTTAAAAATGTATAGTATGAAACTTAAAGCAATCTCAAAAGTAGAATACAAGAAATAATGTAGAGAACACATGGAAATAAACCAACAATGTAGGTAAATTTATAAAAAAGTAGAATATTTGAAAAATTATATAAATGACTCATAGGTTAAAGGAGAAACAAAGGAAAAATTATTTTATTTGGTTTTTGACCCAGGGTCTCTCTGGCCTGGAACATGTGATTATCCTGCTTCAACCTCCCAAATGCTAGGTTGTAGACAAGTGTAGAAACACCAGATTTTTACTTTTATATGCATTCAAAAAATTAAGGGAAAAATTAACTGAAGGAAAAATACAAAACTTTAACATTTGTAAGTGCAGGTAAAGTAGTTCTTTGCTGGAAATTTATAGACTTAAATCTTCTGGAACTGATGGAAGGTCCTAAGTCAATGACTGGATTCCTACCTTTAGAAGCCAGAATAAGAAAAACAAATTAAGCCAGGTGTGGTGGCCCACGCCTTTAATCCCGGCACTCCTGAGGCAGACAGGTGATCTCTGAGTTCTAGGCCAGCCTAGTCTGTATAACAAGTTCCAGGACAGCCAGGGTTACATAGAGAGACCCTGTCTGAGAACAAAACAAAGTGAAAAAAGGAGAAAGAAAAAGAAGAGAGAGAAAGAGAGAGAGAGAGAGAGAGAGAGAGAGAGAGAGAGAGAGAGAGAGAGAGAGAGAGAAGGAGAAGAAACCAGGAAAAAGGAAATTGTAAGATTGGATTTAGGGATTAGAGGGGACTGAAGATAGGGCTCAGCAGTTAAGAACACTGGCTGTTTTTCTAGAGGACCTGGGTTCAATTCCCAGCACCCACATGGCAACTTACAACTGTCTGTAACTTCAGGTCCAGGGGACCCAACACTCACGACAAAACAGCAATGCATATAAAATAAAAATAAGTGATTTTAAAAAAAGATTGGAGTAGAGATCAAATCCATAGAAATAACAATTTTTTTTTTTAACAAATCAATGAAATCCATGTCCCCAAAATTAGAATTCTTTGATAGGCTCTGTTCATAAGACAGACTAAAGTCTTTTACTGGGTTTCATTCTCCTCAAGGAGCCGTACTTATCTCTTGGACTACACTTCTGTGCTGTGTTTTACCAGCCTTTCAGATCTATTTTTTTTTCTTACTGGCAAAGGACCTTTGCATATGCTGCTGTTCGCCCCTCCCTAACCAACCAGATGTCTTTGCCCCACCCATTTCTATGTAGTTAATGCCGGTTTATCTTTTACTTTAGATCGGCTATTCTCATCTAGAATTTATCTAGTCTCTAACCTCCGCTAGAGCAGAAGCTATTGGTTTTTGCTCATTCTTCTTAACATTTAACACTATGTGGCTCATGGTAGAGTCTCAGGAAAAAATTGTTGGAAGGATGAATGAAGTACAATAATAGGCATGTTTTCTTTCTTTCTTTCTTTCTTTCTTTCTTTCTTTCTTTCTTTCTTTCTTTCTTTCTTTCTTTCTTTCTTTCTTTCTTTCTTTTTTTTTTGTTTGTTTTTCGAGACAAGGTTTCTCTGTGTAGCTTTGCTCCTTTCCTGGAACTCACTTGGTAGCCCAGGCTGGCCTCGAACTCACGGAGATCCGCCTGCCTCTGCCTCTCGAGTGCTTGGATTAAAGGCGTGCACCACCACCGCCTGGCAATAGGCATGTTTTCTTAGGATATCTTTTCTTGTATTTTGTGAATATGTTATTTAAAGATCACTATTTGGGGCTTATGATCAAGAGACCATATTTAGAGATTTCACCGTTCTTTTATTCCTTATTTATACTTATGAATGTACTGCTTTGTGGATACTGCTGTAGATCAAACCCACTTGGTCTTCTGATATATTGCTTAGTGTTGCCAGTTTTCATCAATAAGTCTGTTGTCTGATTTCATTATAGTACCTACATAGGGAAACTACACAGTTTGTGTCAAATAAACCACTAAAATAGTACTAAAAGTACTTAAAGAATAGTTGCCTCAAAGATACTTTATGGTTTTAATGCCATTTTACATATAAACTTTTGGTGATCTACTTAGAGTTTCAGTGCTAACATCCTGTCAAAATTTCTACCTAATTTTGATGCCCAAACCCACCATCTTTCCACTGGTATCTTGTCTCAAATACCCCAACTTAAGTTTTTTTTCCATCTTAAGAAACTGGTTGGATGTTAGTCGTTTGTTAGCTAACAATGGGCAGCAATTATTTCAGTTGTCTGACCGTGGGCACAGTAAGTTAAACTTAGTTTTCTCTAAGATAAACTTGTGATCAATATATTTACAGATAATCCTCGTAAGAGAAAGAAGATAGAGGTAAGATTTTTATCCAACATAAACTTCATTCCTAGGTAATAGGCCAATTTTCTGTAACTTAAGTTCTGAAGCACAACGGGGGGGGGGGGGCGCGGGGGGCCCCGCGGGGCTGAGTATAATTTGTAGTTACCAAGACTTTCCTAGAGTTAAAGAGTATTGTCTGTCTTAAGGGTTAAACTAAATCACTTCAAAGTAGGGCAGACATTGAGTGGAGCATCGGTGGCTACAGAAGCCTAGAGCCGGTGGTAAGAGGACCCCTAAAGACAGGATCAGCAGAAAAGCAGCTCTCAGACAAGGAAGTACAGTAACAAGAGTGGAAAAAAATGTAGTCTTCCTTTTGCAGCCGTCATTCCCTCCATCTGGGAATTTCAAGGCGGTCTGGATGAAACAGGAAAAAGAGGTGATCCAGGCATGACAAGAAATGGCCCAGGACCTGAAGAATTCCAGGCAAGAAGAGACAGAATCTCTTCTCAGCCTTTTAGCTAACACCAAGTGCAGAGACACAGAGAGCTTGGGTCTGACACACTGGATGACTTGCTGTCCATTGTTACAAGAAGGTGGGAGGTGATGATGATGAGGGAATGGTGTATATGGTGGGAGGAACCAGGAGTGTGGCTTTATGCAGATTGATTTGTTCTATGTCTTCATTGATTAAGATGTGCAATGTTGAAAGTAAGCCACCGAAAAGAACAAAACTCTAAAATCCTTAGTTTTATTGAGCATTCATCTCGTCACAGAGCTACGAACTGAGATGCTTTATTCATTAGCAGGCAGAAAGCTATGAGAAAGAATCTTCTGATGTCATAATTTCTGGGGGTCACTGGAACATTTGATCATCATTCCTTTGGCAAGTCTAGCCTTCTATGGAAAGTCGGTCAAAGCAATTGATTTATTCACCTCTACAGGAATCAGACTGAGCCTATTTTGGTAAGTCTATGTTTCCTTGAGCAAGGTAGCTAAAGCTTAATGTTTACACAGCTAGTTACAGCAAACAACAGGTGACCGTGTTATAGAAGATCATCACTGAATCAGGTCCCCTTTCTTGATAATGGCCACAGTCTACTGATCAAATTCTTAGAACTGAATAATTTAGTTTATTATTACTTCCAATAAATATTTATCTATTATGAATAGACTACTAGGCATAAGAATTACTTTAAAGACATTTTCATGTTTCCTATCCCTTGTGAATTAATAGTTGAAGATATGTAAATTTATTCAAGGTAGAGTTATTAAATGTTCACTGTGTGCCCAAACTTTAGCTGTAAATGATTAAATGGTGACAAAGATGGACAAAGAATGGTTGAGGACATTTATTAAAATAATTAGGCCAGTGCTTCTCAATAGGGAGAATTTTTGCTTCTCTCTTTAACAAGAGATACTCGGCAATATCTGGGGATCTCTCTCTCTCTCTCTCTCTCTCTCTCTCTCTCTCTCTCTCTCTCTCCCTTCTTTTCCTTTCTTTTTTTTTTTAAACTATCAAAACACTGGGAGAGTGTTGTTGCTGACATCTAGTGGGTGACTACTGAAGAACATTTAACAATTGTCTATGACAGTCTAACTTTCTCCAGCTTAGAATCATGTCATCTCAAGTGTCCATAGCACCCTGGTTGTGAAATCCTGAATTATTACAAAACAAAAAGAGAGTTCTATGAAGACATAGACAATCAGGGTTTGGAAGGGTTCTTTCTCTAAGAAAGGGAGATGTAAATTTAAACTTAGTGGGTGAATTCACTCTAGCAAGTAAAAGGTGGGAGCAGTGAGTTGTGGGTTCCAGGCACAGGAAACAGTAGGTAATGATGAATTTGTGTACATGTGCTGCATATACCTAAGGTTCCCCATTTACATATGTGTTTACTAATGCTCAGCATCTACTAAATAGTAATAGTTATTGACTGAGCACTTACTATGTGTCAGGCATTGTATTTTACATGATTTATCTCCTTTAAACCTACTATTACCTGAAAGCAGGTAATATCATTACCCTTTGGTAATACAGACAAGTTAAGTGTTTTCACTAAGATCACGATGGTGGGATGAATCAGATTGTACTGTTAACTCATGAACCCAACTCTCTCCAAAGCATTAACTAATGCACTAGACTATAGGGAGTGGGTGAACTACATGCTTTTAGGAACAAAAGGATTATCTGAAGGTATCTGGATGGGCATGAAATTCTACTCAAAGAAAGTCTACCTTAGTGGAGAGGCTTGGAAGGGTAGAGAATGAGAACTCAAGCTTGCTGATTTAATAATCATGGGAAGGCAATTTGATCTTTTCTTTCCCCACAGTGGAGACATCACTGTTAACCATAGGCTAACCACAACATAGGCACAGTTTGCTTATACTACAAGGGGCTATTTTGAATTTGTTATAAGACTTTAACTTGTTTATAAGGGATATTTGTATAATAAAGTATTTTACAGATTTTTCAGATGTCACTTTCTAAAAGTTTTTGTACACATTTAACAAAATTATAGCATTAAAAATGTCAACTTATCTTTGATAAGCACCATCATTATTTTAACTTTGTATTCTAGGATTTCAGTGAATTATGCCTTTTCGGTTTGGGACCCAGCCAAGGAGGTTTCCAGTGGAAGGAGGAGATTCTTCAATTGGGCTAGAACCAGGCCTGAGTGCCAGTGCTGCCTGTAATGGGAAAGAGACGTCACCCAATAGGTGAAGTCTACTCACTGTGCCAACTGAGGTTGTGGGTATTGGCTATCATCAATAGGAGCTCTAACTGACATGTAGTATTAGCAAGAGAAAAATTAACCCTGGGAATTCAAACACTTCTGTTATTAAATTAGTACTAACAGAGCCCAGATTTAACTGTGTATATTTTGTAACTTTGTAAGTGTAGACCAGTCCTTCCCCTGTCCCCTAACGTTATATCTAGATTGTGTCTATAAGATCAACATCAAATCAGCAGTATAATTATGGGTAGGGTATTGTTCTAGGTACAAGACTACAAATATAAAGAAAAAGATAGAGACCTCAGATTTAGTGTCACTTGGACTGGGGAGACCATTGGCTGGGACAGCAGTAGAAGGGGAAGTGCTATGAGAGATGTCACTTTGACAAAACTGAAGCAAGCTTATTTATTATAAGTAGGATTTGTCTCACTCTTCTGCTGTTTACCATAGCAAAACTACAAATAGTACACAGCTAATTCTCTTAGTGGATTGGTGTTTTGGAGGTCACAGAGGTAAGCTTAGTCAAATCAATACTTTAAGAGCTAGAGTTACTTATGGATGAAATCGGCTAAAATATCCAAGGTTGATTATTTGGTGGGAGTGTCAGAAAAGGAACTCAGTCACTAGGTACATTTTGGACTAGTGTCATTTAAGGGTTCTTTTAACTCTGAGATTCTACCAACATTTGAGCATTAAGTCTGCTAACTTTCTCCCACAAATGTTCTAGCTTTGAAATTACTCAGCCAAAGTGATCAAAGGTTCATGTCTGAATTAATTTCCATACTACAGTCACATATGCATTTTTGCCATTTAGTTATTACTGCATACCCTTGAAAATGAACATTTCGAGTGTTAATTTCATTTTATGAATTTCCTATAATTAAATATATGACAATAGGCATGTTTTCTTTGATATGTAAGTGTAGAATCTCATCAGAGCCTCTGTGTTATAGGTTTTTGTGACATTTGAAGGCCTCAGAGAGATTTTTAAACAGTTGAATGCTGGGAGCCATCCCCAGCGGCAGTGGATGGGTCCTGCAGAGGATGTAAAGAGTCCACTGGGGAAGGAAGTGAGCCAGGCCATGGTGGTTGGGAGAATCTTGCAGCCTGACTGACTAGCAGCCAGAGTGTTTCTTTATTTATACAGAATTTAGTAAGCAAGGATACATTCACGATGTTCTAAAATGTTGATCATATCATTTTTGGTTTTGGACATGTGTTTCACTTCCTTTTGCTCATCTTTTAGTCATTAATAAACTATGACAGAACAGAATTATCATTTCCAATCATTTTCCCTCAAGTGTTGACATCATTAATAAACAGTTATCATTCTTACTCATTAGCCCCATAACCCATTTTTTTTTTTTTGAGAATCTAGAGGCATATGACAGCCTGTTCTCAGGCTGGTTGCTTTGGTTACTTTAAGGACACTAGACCAAAACAAAATCTTCAACCACCCTGGGCATTTTGCCATGTCCCAAGCAGTGTATTATTAATGCTTATTGGTCAGAGTGCCCAGGGAAAATCCTTAGGCCAATGCTGCTGCCGTTATTATTCAAATTCTGACATAATACAATCAATGTTCACATTAATATCTCTATATAATTTGTCTATATGTCTAATCGTGGCATTCTGTTCTTCCTTGGTCATATGACATTATAATGGCTCTTCATGAGCTAACTTTTCTAAGCAAGAGAGGTCTGACACCTCATACTTTCATTATCTTTCCATTCCATACTTTGCTCATTAATATGTCTCTGTGTAGGGCAGAGTTGTATGCCATGTAATTGTCTGAGTGTACAGTGGGAAGAGGCTTGTAATCTGAACTGTGTTCAAGTCCTCTAGCCCACTGAATCTTGTTGACCTTTTAAATTTTACTTTGTTTTGAATATCTTGTTTCAGTGTAAGTCAGGGACAGATGTTTCAAGAATGTCTCATAGCCTCATGAAGAGACCTCTGGCTTCTTTATGTGTCACAATCTCCAAGGCGTAAGGAAGACCTTCAAGTAGATAAGGATATCTCCCTAAAAGCAGGAGAGGTAGTGTATTCAGGACTTTCCTGGGTAAGCTTAGAAGCAGCATTCCTGGGAGAAGGCATAAATGATTCATAAAGAATTTTCCATCAATTCAATATCCCTCAATTGTATGAATATTAAAAGTGCCCCAAGTATGCAACAGGTGGAGATGAAAACCAAAGGTGTTGTGTCAGCCATCGTGTGGCCCAGCTTTGCTGGATCTTTGTCAAGCAGCTGTGCTGGCTTTATGACTTCTGCCATTCCATTCAGATATGGCTGTGCCAGTTGAAAAGATATTGAAATGTTTTGCTTTGAAAATAATTTCCTATTTAGTATATGTAGTATCTTAACTACATATAATTTGCCCTTTTATTCAGGCAACTCCGAAGATGCCCTGGAAGTCATTGCCTGACAATAACTGATGTTCCCATCACCGTCTATGCAACAATGAGAAAGCCGTCTGCCCCGAGCAGCAAGGAAATGCATCCCAAATAGCACCATGAAGTCTCGTGTCGAGGGTTGACTAGGTCAAGGGTAATGGACCAGCATCATCTTGTGGTCTGTCTGGTAAACAAATAAAGGTGGAGGCACTACGGGGGCGATGCCAATAGTTGAATATTTGATTCTAATTGAAACGAAAAATGTAGTCAGTAGAGCACACACGGTGATAAGCGTTGGTTACATGTTCTGACAAGACAGAACACGTCACACTTACAAAGGACCTTAGAGATCATCTTGCTCACAGCAGATTACTAGTTCTGAAAATTCAAGATAAAGCCTGATCCATAGTGGTCATAATGCCAGATTCTCAGAGCTTATACAGAGCTGAGAGGTATTTGAATTTTTATTAGTTAAAGAGAAGAGGTCATCCATAAATGTGGGCTCTGGGTCCTGCCTCTGTAGGTCCAAACTACCTGTGTGAAGAGAGACAGTATAACTGTACCAAAGCTTGAAAATAAGATGAGGCATGAGGTGATCCCTAGTCAACACAGTTGTCTATCAAAAGAAAGAAAACTAAATCTAGACTGAAAGTTGCCTAACAATAGGAAAAGAATGACAGGGTCCCTGAGAGCTCATCCAAGGGTGGGAATGATTGGTGTTTCAACCATAGCTAAAAGTCCTCCCCTCCCCTCCACCTTCCTATCTATCCTTCCGTCTCCCTCCCTTCCTTCCTCCCCTACCCCCTCCTTCACTTTCTCACTTCTTCCTTCTCTTCTCTCCTCCCTTTCTTCCCCTAGAGATCCAACTCAGGGTCTCCCACATGCTGGAAAAGTACCCTACCATTGAGTTACACTGTAAGCTAAAAAGATCCTTTAATACAGGGACCTTGAGTCCTTAGTCCTTGCCACAGGGAAGACGGGGTTAGGCTCAATGAATGTGAAGGCTGCTAAAAAGGTCCCACTGACTTCAGGGACCTCTACTGTGAGCAAATGTGAGGAGAAGAAATCAAGAGACAATGACATAATAAGAAATGTGTCTTACAACTCAGCAGTAAATAACACAGGCTTTCAGAGGAACAAAAGTAACAGCAGTTCACACGTTTTCATCAAAAAACATGTAAGAAGATAGTAAAGCATCCTTCCCTCTATCCCTCCCCACAAGACAGGGTATGTAACCCTGGTTGGGCTGGACCAGGCTGGCCTCAGAGGTCTGCTGTCTCTGCCTCCTAAATGCTGAGACTGAAGATGTGTAGCTAATGTTTTCCTGTGTCCCAGCCTGCCGGCAGTCGGGACAAATCTTTCCCATTAGCGTCCCCCAAGTAAACACAGAGACTTATATTACTTATAAACTGTATGGTCGTGGCAGGCTTCTTGCTGTTTTTATATCTTAAATTAACCCATTTCTATTAATCTATACCTTGCCATGTGGCTCATGGCTTACCCATATCTTACATCATGCTTCTCCTTGTGGCAGCTGGCAGCGTCTCCTGACTCAGCCTTCTTCCTCCCAGACTTCTCCTCTCTGCTTGTCCCACCTATACTATACTCCCTGTCTAGCTACTGGCCAATCAGCATTTTATTTATCAATCAATCAGAGCAACACAGTCACAGCATCCCCAGCAAAGATGTGTGCCACCGTGCCTGACTTACAGCTTTATCTCTAAAGCACCTTTCAAAAGTGTGAATTAACTAGAGATGTGTTGACTAGGCATGCTGTAAGAATTTGTCCCCAGAAAATCTGCACTATACGAGAGATGTGCAAGGAAATTTAAGCAAAAAGGAAATGGTACCAAATGGAGATTTGAATGTGTATAAAGAAACAGCACAAAAAATAGAAAATATGTGGATAAATTTAAGTAAGCCAATTCCTAATTTGTAAACATTTATCAGGTAAGCTGTTAAAAGCAAAAAGCAAAAAACAAAACCAAAAAACAAACAAACAAACAAAAAACCCAACAACAACAACAACAACAAAAACCAAAACAAAAAAACCAGTAACATGAAAAACAACAAGATAGGAAAATAAGAACCAAAAAGGCAGAGGAGGGGCAGACAGGATGCTCAGGGAGCAAAGTGTTGTCCAAGCCAGACCTGAGTTTGGTCCCTGGAACCCATGGAAAGGTGGAAGGAGGGAACTGATTACATGAAGTTGTCCTCTGACCTCCACACATGCATCTTGGCATGCACATGCCTCTAGCCAGAGTGTACACACAATAATTTTTTTAAAGGCAAGGGGAGGAAAAAGGAAGTTTGAGTTTGGAAATATCTTAAAAACTATGTGAAGTAGCATGATAGTACTTGATTGTGATAAACGTGTAAGTTGTAAAGTTTAGAATTGTCTCTAAATAGTAAATAGAACAAGTATACAAACAGCAGGACTGAACTATCACTCTAAGTGAAAGCAGGAAAAAAGGTAAAAAGAAATGCATACAATAGATTTAAATCTTAGGTAGTTATGTCAGTTACAAAAGGTCTAAATTTCATTTGCAGGGTAAACACTATCATATTGGCCAGAAAAAAAAAAAAGAATGTAAGCATAAGCTGTTTACATGAACTCACTTTAAATTTAAAAGTCATAAATTAAAAGTCTAGAAGGATTGGGGCTGGAAGATGGCTCAGCAGTTGAGAGCACTGGCTGCTCTTCCAGAGGACCTGGGTCAATTACCAGCACCCACATGGTGGCTCACGACCACCTCTATTTCCAGTCTTATGGGATCTGATGCCCTCTTCTGGCATCTGTGGGCCCTGTGCAGATATATACATGCAGACAAAATACCCACACACATTAAATAATTTTTATAAAGTTAAAAGGATGTAAATAGAATACCATGCAGACATTAATCAAAAGGTTAGAGTAACTATGTTAATTCACTTCAAAGTACACTGAACTGTAGAAACTGATGCAACCAGAAGGAATAATTCTACATTTATAATATAGATTTCAAGTGGTAGAATAAGAAAAAAAAATCAGTGAAGACAGAGAAAATATGATTCATTTGGTACAGAATGCCACTTCACAAAGCCAGAATAGTGTATATTCTTTAAGTTTTCCTGGCTGACTACATTGTGGGGCATCAAATCTTAGAAAACTGAAAAGCATTAGGAGTATGCAGAGCATTCAAAGATATTCAACAAAAGAATTAAGTTAAAAAATAACAAAAACACCCAGAGAATTTCCAAATACCAGAATAGAAAATGACACAATTCTAAATAACCCTCAAATAAAGAGGGAACAGGAGAAGTCACTTTGAGTCAAATAAAAGCACACATCAAAATACACAAGTTTTAGCTACAGTAAAGCTTAGAATTGGAGCATTATGTTATTTCATTAGAAAGGGGTAGGCTGGGTGTGGTGGCACATGCCTATAACCGGGCAGGGCCACACAGAGCATTACTACACCTTCTAGGCCATCCTGGGCTGCAGAGTAAGACTGTCTCAAAACAACAAAATAACAACAAATTCCCCCAAACGAAATGAGAAGCAGAGGGAAATAATAAAGATAAGAGGAGCTGGAGGGATGGCTCAGCAGGAAGAGATGCGTGCTACCACGTCTGCTGACTCGAGTTTGATCTCCAGGAGCCATGTGGAAGGAGAGAACTGACGCCCACAAGTCCTCCTCTGGCCCCTGCACATGCATCAAAGCATGCCTGTCCAGACATCTGTGTACCTAAACAAATGTAACAGAAAAATAAGAAGCAGAGAAATAATAGAGGAAAACAGTGGAGCCCAAGTCTTTACTTCACATCATGAGTAAAATTGATAAAGGTCTAGGCAGAATTATCAGGGAGAAGAAAAGACCCAAATTACTGATAATCAGGGTTGGCAGGGGAGCCTCACTGCTGATCTGCCCAGGATAAACTCCTTTTCAGCACTGTGGATGGATCCTTTAGTATTGAATGTCTCCCCACATTCCCTTACATTACTGGGTATAAGCTCTCTAGAGTAGATCGTATTTTCTTAACTTGCCTCCAGGTTGACATTAGCTCAGGATTACTTGAAAAGATAATCTGTTGAGGCTGTGGTGTAGGTCACTGTGAACGCAGTATGATCCGGCTAGGTTGACCAGGATCAATTCTGCATTTCCTCTTAGCACACTTTGGGAGCTCTGGAGAAATTTAAGGGCTGCAGCTGACTGGCAGTGCCATCCTACACGTTCATGCTTGAGCCCTTCTGTCCCATGGTTACCCAGACCATTGGGATGGCATCCTTCAGTCTCCTTCCTCCACTGACTGTCCCATCTGCGCTCTCATGGGCTCTTCAGGGAATGGTGTCCTCTGCTGGGAGGTTTAGCCAACTTTGTTCCCCAATTCTGAGAACTTCCGGACAGCTGTCTGTCTTCCTTCCTGTCTCCTCACATGCTCAGGCAAGTCTCTTGGGCTCAGTGGCATCAAAAGTAGAAGCATCAGGTTTTGCTTTTCTCAGACTCCCAGGAACTTTATGCTTGTCTTGGAAGGTGAGGTGAGGTTATTTCCATAATAACCTTTATGGAAACTCTGCTTGCTTGAAGTTCACTTAATACTTATTGAGTATATTCCTATACACGCCAGACACAGTTCTGAACTCTTTAAACAACCCAGAAATTCATGTAGTTTATATTAGAAAAACATTTTATCCTATATGTATGAGGGTCTTGTCTTCTTGTATGTACCTGCAGTGCCCTGGGAGGACAGCAGAGGGTGGCAGAGCTCCTGGAACTGGAGTTACAGGTGGTCGTGAGCTCCCAAGTAGGTGGGAGGAGATGAATAAGGGTCCTTTGCAAGAGCAGTATTTGCTCTTAATCACTGAGGCATCTTTCCAGCCCCTAGCTTCCATTTCTGAAGTTGTATGAGGAGACATGAACTGATGTTTACTAACAGATGGGGCACCAGTGACAGAATTAATTCCACCCAAGTGTAGCATGGGGATCCAATGAGTTTAATTGGAGTTATAGGTGTATGGGTGATGGGTTACTTATAGAGGCATGAGCAACTTATGGGTGGCTATACCACTGAAGAAAAATTGTTTCTTACATTTTCAGGGAAAGGCAGGAACTGTTGAATAACCCCTCATTAATGGGCCTAATTCCTAGCTGAGGACTGAGGTGATCATTACTGGACAAAGGGTAGGATGTGTCATCCTGTATTTACAGAATGGTAATGCCAAGATTTGCATGCCTGGGAATGTGTGCCCAGAACT